CAAATTACAGAATAAAGAAATGATGTCTGCAAGTAAATATTCAGATACTTTTTTGATTTCTTGAAACCATAGCTCCTCTTTATCATCTTCGTGTTTCCGTTGTACTCTTATTCATAAGATTTATAGTGTTAAGCTCTGTGAAAATATTGGATAATGCAATGAATAAAATTTTAATTTCTTTTTTTCTTGTTAATACTTTCAAGTGTCGTATTTGTCATAATAAATAATTAATTATGGCGTAACATTTTGCTATGGGAAGTGTGCTAAATTCGATTAATCTTAGGATTTGTATATGAATATTATAAACTGTATATTTCGTCATGAAAACAACGTAAATTTGCTTGGCTGTCAACTCGTTTTGGTCGCCATTGGCTCGGTCGACGAGGTACAAAATGTATCTTTGAATTTGAAAACAATGTTAGAAAATGTCGTGTATTGAGCAACTTACAAATTTTGGACCTAAAAGTAAACTAAGAAGTTTAAATTTGCCCTCATATTAATTCTTCAAAAATGCAGTGAGTACAGATTTTTTCTACAGTTTTTCATCAGAAATTTGAATTTTACTCACATGGGGGTGGACCCCATGTGATTAAAAAATTAATTTTTCTACCCCGCCCAATTGTTTCTACCCTCCTGTACTCATAGCAGAACTCTTAATCCTTTTGACCACACAAATTGTAGTATTTAAGATTTAAATTTAGATAACCCGATTAAAACTTAATTGTTGCAAAATCGTCGAATTTACATTTTGACAGTCATAAACTTATACGATCGACCCCGATAATTATATCATGTTCAAGATCTCCAAATATAATAACTACGTATCTAAAGTTTTAAGGGACTCGACCAAATAAAATTAATATAACCGTAACCTAAGGGGAATGACAATCTTTTGATAGAAGGAGATGACACGACTTTTTTTTCTCTAAGTATTAACTAATACGAGAATCAGACTTGAAAATTTTCCCCAAACACTATTTGTGTTAGTTTTTTCCTCACACGTCCATCAAGAAATAGATGCTTTTTTAACGTTGTTTTGCCTAAGTTATTGGGGGATTTCGAGGAAGGCTTGTGTGGGGTATACACGTTTTACTTTTGATTGAATTTATTTTCGAATTAATTTGCGTGTGATCCGAACAACTTAAGTAGTCAACGTCCCATTCCTTAAAAAAAAATTTAGGTAGGGAAATTGCTATTGCTTTGCGGTTTTTTTTCCTCCCCTTTTCTTTGGTCAAAAAATTGTACGCGGTTGGTTTATACAGTCATTGGACATTCCCATTGCAATAACATCATTTGCTTTACTTGAAAAATAATTGTCCTTTGACCAATTACTTTTGTAAGAATTAGTAAATATTTTATATTAGTATTTTACTAATTGAAATAAATAAAAAATATATATTATAGTGTAGACTTGGTCGTGTTTCCCCTTCATAGTGGGGGCATGAACGTAATAATTTAATGCTAATTTAAAAAATAAAAAATAAAAAAATTATATTGCAGTCTTGGTCGTGTTTCCCCTTCATTGTGGGGCATGAAAATTTGTGTCGAGTTGGTGAGCCATCATTTTCTAAGTAGCAAGCGCGTACTTGTAATTTTTGATCAA